TGCGCGACCTCTGTGTCGGAATTTACCAATTTGTTATTAATATTTAAAGCTATTTTGCTATTTTGAAAATTAACTTTTCCAGTTTCGCTATTTATTACTTTCCAAGTGGCTTTTATTTTATCTTTAGATTTAGTTATTATTTTACCTAAATAGAGAGACTTAGCTGTATGACAAACCTTTTTAAATATTTTCGAATAAGATTTTACATGTTCATGAAATAAGGGATCGGATATATAGCTTCGTTTTTCGTAAAGTTCGTAAAGATTAGCCCTAGACTTATAAATACCAAACGTGGCCCAGTCACAAAACTTTGATTTTACACTAGTTGAAAATGTTTTTGTTTTAAATTCACTGCTAGCTTCATGTTCAATTAAATTAAAAATATGTTCACATACAATGTCCGGGTCATATTGAGGTACTATGACACTAGATATTTTATGTTCAATTTTATTTTTAAAACGTGCCAAATTCTTTTGTGTTATTTGTCTGCATGTAATTGTTTGAGTCCCTTTGGATCCCTTAGTTTCAATTAAAACTTTTTGTCCGTAATGATCAGATCCAAGACAGTCGAAATTCATTTTCACCTTTACTTCACAATTACAAAAAACATTATCTATACAAGTGGCAGAATTTCCTGCGACCCTAGTGGGTTCTAAAAAAAGATTGTGCAAATTAAATGATTTAAATAAGTTAATCAATCTTAAGCTTATTGAGCATTCCGATAATAAATCAACATTAAAATCGCCACATACAAATAATGTTTTATTCCTCCGTGCGACTCGTCTCAATGCTTCCTCCATAGCCAGTTCAAAAGAATCAAAACAAGCCGATGGCGGACGATAAACGCAAATTATTATACAAGTAACTAATTCTACGCAAGATAGTTCAATTGTTTGCTCAATAGAAATATTTACAATGTCTTGACGGTTTTTATATTCTACATCATTTTTTAAAATAATAATTGACCCGCCATGAATGGCATTGTTCCTAGCAAAAAAACTAGCTATATTATAATGTTCAAAAGGACAAATTATTTCATATTGTTTAAGCCAATGTTCTGTCAGACATAACACCCGTACATTGTTAGATTCTAAGAAAAGACTTAATTCTAATTCTTTGCTGGAGAAGCCACGAATATTTTGATGAATAATGACCATATCCTGTGGCTTAACCAATGTCGTAGATGTTAGTTTAAATTAACACATGTCACATTATTAGTATAATTACTAATATTACTAATTAAACCCGTTATACTACTTATAATGGGATCATAAATGTTATACGCTAGTAAACTAGCAATAGTCTTTTTTTGTTTTTTAGGAAGATAAAAATTACCTCCCGTCATATAATAATTTGTAACAAATTTGTTACTTTCAAAATAAAATATATCATTACAATGATATGTCATCGAATAAATTAAATTATTTATACTATAAATGAACTTATTCTGTTCATTAGTCAGGGATTGAGAGTAGGGAAATGCGCATAATAATATTTTACCTATACCAAGCTCCACTATATTATATAATGATTTTATTAAATTAACTATATCAGATTTACGCATATGCAAACAATTCCCTAACGCTATTACTAGGGTCGTGTGAATATCATATTTTTCATTTACTATATTTTTTATAATCTTATATATACCTGATCCCGGAAAACAATTATTTATTACTTGTTGGGAGAGGCAGTTCGATAATAAACTACCTAAATCCTTGCCAAATTCATCTGAATAAACAATTGTTCTCCTGATGGTTTCATGTACAGTGCTGCATTTATTTACTTTTGTACTGTTTCGTGTGGGTAAACATGAAACGTCTGGTCCCGTGACGGATGAGATATCAATGTTCAACTGATTATGGTGGGACGGTTGGATATAGTTATCAGACTCTGGTGAATTACAGTGACATCTATCCGTAAGAGAAACAAACCGCTCCATGTTGTAGTTACCTAATTTTATTAAATTATCCAACTGATCAGAATATTCATGTATTTCATTCTTAGCTGATTCGTATTTCAAAGATAAATTGGACAACGAGTTCTCTAATAGTTTAATTTTTTGTGATAATTCATCTATTTCTAAATCTTTGTTATATATTTTTTCTTTACAATTATTTAATTCTATTAATAAGTCAATTTTTTGCTTCCTATTAATAATTGATTTTAAACACTTTTTATGACTTTTCACTAAATTTTCTGATTTTCGAATAAATTTATTTAATTTTACATATTTTTTTAACTTCTTACTACTATGAATAGGTACTTTATTAGGACTATAGGAGCTTGGTGTATTTGTCAAATCTATGGTCACAAGGGGCAGAGCAGATGTTTGATCACTAGTAGTATTTAACATTTCTGTATACAGATCCATGGTCTCGTTATAACTACTCAACCGCCCGTGATCCAACAAAGATTTATTTTGTGATTGAACTTCCTCAAGGTGCCGCTCTAGATGAGTGATTTTCTGCAATGCTGACTCATATGTGTCTCTGCACAGATCATATTTATTTACAATTTCTTGAAGTTTTTCTTTTTCGATATGTAGAACTTCAAAGTCTGTACTGATCTTCACTAGGTCATTCTTCAGAGCCACATATTCATCAGTTCAATAGTTAGTACAAATAAAAAATCTATAATTTGATTGAAGTTTTTTCGATTTCTTATTAATTTCTATTGGTTTTTCTGTGATAATTTCGACACAAATTGGTTAACTTTCATTAAGGTTTCTTGATTATAACAATTACCTCGTATATACGTAAAGAAAAAACTCTGATCTGTAACTTGGTTATTGGATAAAGACCGAAATATTATTATATAAATTCAAATCACCTTTATTCAAATACGCAAAAACGGGCACTATTAAATCGTCATTATTTTATGAATGCAGGGTTCGGAAAGTTGAGAAATCTGTTGAGAAGAGCTAACAAGATATTCAATAGTCACTCTTTTACATCTCTGTTAACATGATGTGTCTATATACTATATCTAAAATTACATGGTTGTTAAGAGTCCGTGCATAATCGACTAATACCATGCACATTTGTCATTCAAGTAATCGTTTAGTGTGTACTATGTGGCTTTGTTCAATAAGTATTTTTTATTTATCATATATATATATATATATATATATATATATATATATATTATTTCACTTTGTTTAAGGCATTTAGTTCCAAATACATTTAATAAAAATCTGGTTTTTTTTGCATTTATTCAATCGTTACAAATCCATTTATAAAATATCCATTGATTAAAATAGTCTTTAGAACAATTGAGGCAGTTGGCACTCTATTCAGGAAACATAAAATTCATAATATGATCGATGCAAAGTTACTATTTTAACCAATCAAATTCCAACAAAATGAACATAGATTAATCAATTCAATATTAAACCATCTGTTGATGTTGGCTACTCTATTCTCGGTACTTTAATTAAATTTCAGTCAAACATGTTATGTTAAAACATCATTTCCAATCAAGCCAGTAGATTAATATAACTTTCAGGTCATAATTTAATTATAATATATCTTTTATAGGAGCGATAAAAACTCAGTTGTGCAACATTTAATTACCATCCAAGAGTCAAGGCTCACAAAATCAAACTATATTTGAATCATTTTGAAAAATCTTTACTTTTGTTCGTGACGTACTTTAGAAGGAGAGAAAACCATGTCAAAGGTCTTTGTGTACAACAAGCGCTTCCTAGAAACTCTTGACGAAAGAGAGTCATTCTCATTCTATAAGTACTAATAGAGTTTTGGATATATATATATATATATATATATATATATATATATATATATATATATATATAGCAATTTAAATAAGTTAACTATTTAAGTTTTAAATATATTTATTAATTTTCACTGTATACATAAACATTTATCAATTCACAAAAATACAATTTTAAAAAAGTCATTTTTAATTTTTCTCCCATATTCTACGGCGAAAAAAGCAAAATCTCTGTTCGAAAGACAGACCCTGCTTCTTAATAAGAGTTGTTTGAAGATCAAGAAATATATTATAGCAGGTATTCCAGAAGATTTTTGACACTGCAAACCTAATCACTGAGAGCCCCATAGAAAGAGAATATCAAGTACAATCCTTAATCTACGGATAATCCATTGCCAGTGACGCAATCTAAATTAAAAATATTTTTTCCACCTTATTATTATTATTATCTTATATATAATTATATAGATGGTTAACGCTTACGTAGAAGCGAATTGACCGACCTTTTTGCATACACAGGCTACCCTCTTTCCGCGAAGGTCGCTTGAGCAGCTCCGAAATATTTTCAAAATGCCTGTCATTTCTGTGAAAGTGTGCTTAAATTTGTTTCTATACAAAACCTATAAAACACATAGACATACCACCCATAATTCCAAAATCTTACACTAGATTCTATTTTTAAATGAATTTCAAAAGTATTCAAAAAAAGTGAAGAAGTAAATTTTCTATAGACGCCAGATACCACTTTTTGTCAGGTGGGCTGCTTGTTTGCCATTCTAAGTTGTATTATATAAAAAAAAAAAAATATTTAAATAGTAAAATTGTTCTGGTGCCGAGCTGTAATCAACGTAATAACGTTCGATACATTTATCAATATTTAGGTTCGAGTCAGATTCGTTTCGATATTAACATTTGTTTGTATTTAGATTTAGAATCCATTTAAACATTATAATAATATAATTTGGAAATACATATAATAAAAATTCGCATTTTGTAATTGTTATAATTGCGCGGGCGATGATATCCAGTGTATATCGATATCGAGTTATAGATTTAATCTCAATGGCATTGAATCCCTAGATTAATTTTTTTTTTTTTTAGTACGTTTGTTCCGTTTGGAACAGGCTAAGGTCGGAGACCATGCTGCCTAGTCTTCAGAAAGATAATTTGTCTGGAATTTTATTTTTCTAATGTCGCTTCAATTATTGTCATAATCTTCAATATTTCATTTGTCAAATCCGGTAAGTACATTTTCATAAATATCTTTTCTTGAGTTTTCTTAAACCAGTGGATTTATCAAATTAAAAATAAATAATTATAAAAAATCATTGTCTTGCAATTCAATAAAAGTATTCTTATAGCTCCTTGAATGTTGTAGTAATATAAGTGAAAATAGCTTTGAAACAAGAAGGAAATCTTAAGAGAAGCGGGATTGAGTGCGGGATATTTTCGGGTTTTTTGAAGATAATCCTAAGTTCGTCAAACATAATGTGTCTTTGAATGACAAATTCAGAGCAATCAAAAAAAAGGTGATGTAGAGATTGGGCTGTATTTGAGTTACACCATGTGCATGATGGGGAAGCGATCATGCCCATTCGGTGCAGGTGTTCGTTGAAATGTCCGTGGCCGATTCGTAATCTACAAATATTGGTGTAAAATTTTCTGTTTGTGTCCTTTCCTTTGCAGAACCACGGTTTTCCAATACGCCAATTAATTTTGCGGTACCATTTGCCTTTAGTCTGTAATATTTGAGTCCAATGCTCCTCCCATTTAGTTGTAACGATTTTATGTATTCCAATACTACAATCTGAGTAACAAAGGGATAAATCTTGAACACGAGCAGCACTTGAATTAATAATTTTAGCCAAAGTGTCTACTTGTTCATTCCCAAACACTCCAATATGTGAAGGGGTCCAGATGAAGATAATATCTTTTCCATATATAGTACAGAGATGATAATATTTATTACGAATTTCTTGAATTAAGTAGTTTGATGATGAAATGAATGTGTTATTTTTTAATGCCATAAGAACACTCATACTATCTGTAATTATAATCCATTTCGAATATAGTACCTGTTTTTCTATGTATTCTAATGCTAAAAATATAGCTTTTGCTTCTGCTGTGTAAATACTAGCCAAAGTTGAAATTTTATAACCGTGACCAAATCTATTTGACAAATCGTAAAAAGCCACTGAAGTGCTAAGTGCATTTTTGGAACCATCTGTATATATCTGCCTGTAGTCAATAAATTCTGATAAAGTCTCATACATATCGTGCTTTTCTTTTATGTCTTTACGTATAACAATTTTGATCTTACAGAACTTACTCTCATAAAGGCCATTATAACAAGGAAGTATCTTACTACTATAGATGTTATATTCATCTCGTAAATTCAAATCATTGACAATAGTTTTATTCAAAAACATAGAAATGGGGCAATTTAATAATTTGAGTATGAGTGGGTTATTGGAAACTGAAAAAACTTTGAAGAGAAATTTGAGTTTTAGGTATTCGAAACGAAGAAGGATAGGAGGCAAATTACATTCTACTTGCATTGAGATAATTGGAGAAGTATACATAGCACCTAAAATAAGTCTTAAATTCATATTTTGAATTTTTTCGAGTTTTTCTACTAATTTATGTTCTGAGGCATAACAAAAGAAAGCGTAATCAAAATTACTTCTAACAAGAGATTTGTAAAGTAAAAGGATAATTTTAGGATCAGCTCCCCAGTTACGACCAATTACAGATCTTATTATATTAGTGGCTCTTAAAGCACGATCTACTAAGCAATCAACGTATAGATCCCATTTTAAATTTTGATGAAAAATTACCCCCAGAAATTTAACGCTACAGTCTGTTGGAAGAGTTTGATTATTATATATAATATTCATTAATGGAACATATTTATGAACTTGATGAAAAACAACTACTTTACTTTTGGTTAAACTAATATCGAGGGAAAGAAGAGAAAAATATTTCTCAAGTCTTTTTAATGACTCATTTAACACTAATTGCATATCAATAATATTCTTTCCTTTTATATAAATTAATAAATCATCGGCAAATTGCAAGTTGTTCACACTGTTTCCTAAAATTGAATTAAGTTTATAGATATATAAAATATATAGTAGCGGGCTTAGAATACCACCTTGACATACTCCTTTAGAGCTTAACCTAGGTCCTATTAATTTACTATTTACTTTAACATACACTTCTCTATTACTAAGAAAATTATAAATCCATTCGATAAGTTTCATTGGAAGAAATGAGGATAAAATCGAAGATAGAACTGTTAAATTTACATTGTTAAAAGCTCCTACGACATCTAAAAAAAACAGATAGAACATATTCATCGTTATTCAAAGCAGTACTAAGGTCGACATAGAAGTTCGCTAAACTTTCGCGCGCTGAATATCCACGGCGAAAACCAAATTGATTCGATGGTAATATACTATTACTTTCAATAAAAAACTCTAAACGCTGTTTAATTAATTGTTCGAATAATTTGCCTGCACAGGACGTCAATGTTATAGGTCTATAGGAGTCGAAATTTGTAGGATCTTTACCGGGTTTAATTACTGGAATCAAACAATCCATTTTCCATTCTGGTGGGATAATACAGTCCTTCCATAAATCGTTAAAAATTTGTAAGAGTTTAGTAAGGTTTATTTTATTCAGCAATCGAAACATATTGTATGTTAAGCGATCAAGGCCACTAGCTGTATCTTTTCTAGATTTTACTGCACTGGATATTTCATCAATTGAGAATGGGTCAGTGAGAAATTTTGGGCATGAATTAACAGAATTAAACTGTTTGTCATCAAAAGGTGAGTGTACAAAATCAGGAGTATATTTGCGTAAAAAATCATTGACCCATGATATATCTTTAAAATGATTTTGACGATGTTTTGAATTTAGTTTTCTCATATTTTGCCAAACAGTGGAAATTGGTGTTAATCTATTAAATTTGGAACAAAATTCCTGCCACCCCTGTTGTCTTACTTGCTTAATTACTAACTTTTTAACAGCTTGAACTCTTTTAAAATTTATGTAATTATCGAGAGTTGGATTTTGTTTAAACCTAAGGTAAGCCGCTTTACTATCATTGACAGCTGTCGCACACCTGTTATTCCACCAAGGTACTGCAATATGTTTGTGCCTCTTTGAAGTATTTGCACCGCTATTTGATAAGTTCCTACGTGGAACGGAACGTTCCACAGCTGTCAAAATAATTTTACAGAACCTATTGTAATTGTTTAAGGGTTCATTGACATCATACTCGAAATCCAAAAGTAATTGATTAACAGTTTCAGAATAAAGATCCCAATTAACGAGACGTAGGTTTATACGATTTAACAAAAGTTTATTAACTTCATCTATAGGAGCATGTTGTTCACCTGACAGAGTTGATGAAGAGTTCTTTGTGTTTATTTTAATAAAAGTCGGCAGGTGATAACTTCCTAACGGATCATCATGAACCGACCACTCGCATTTTAATGATATGGATGGGGATACCATAGTTAAATCAAGGCCATTGGGTCTCCAAATATGAGAGCCAACAGTAGTAACTTGCTTATCATTTAATAGTACCAAATTACATTCATCTAAACAATCAAGAATGTCTTTACCTCTTGTATTAGTGGAGGTACAACCCCACATAGTATGATGTGCATTTAAATCTCCAGATATGATAGTGGGTTTAGGAAGAGACTCCAAAAAGAACTTAAATTTGGCTTTAGTAAAACTAGGTGTACTATTGGTAGGACAGTAAATACTGGCAACTGAATACCAAGAATTATTAACTTCAATACTAATAGCTATAGTTTGCAAAGAATTGTCGAAAAAAGAGTGAAGTTTTTTATATCTAATACTATTATGTATAATAATCGCTACTCCATTGTGGTTATTACCACAATCATTTCGTTCTATACAATAATCTTTAATTTTTAATTTGTAATGTGGTTTTAGCCAAGTTTCTGAGATGAGAGCAATGTGAATATGATGTTCATTTAAAAATTGTGTAAAAATATGTCGATTGCTCAGTAGGCTCTGAGCGTTCCACTGTATGATAGTTAATTGGTCTCGATTGAATTTTGTGAAATAGGTCTATTACCAAAAGTATCATATAACACATTCAAAACACTTTTAGTGTTAATAGATGTGTTCTTTGTGTTATGTAGTGAAATAAGTTTGATTATGCTTTCTATTAAAAGTGATAAACTCTTGTTATCAGAATTTAGAATTGAAATTAGGTCTACATTTTTTTTAGGTTTGTTACCCAGTTTAGGAAATATTTCAGTGCTAAGTACATCTCCAAAAGAAGCAGGTCTGAATTTAGATCTATTTTCAGCAATTTTCTTTTGTTTAACAGGGCATTGCGGTGATACACTTGTGTGATTTCCATTGCAGTGTACACAAATAGCGTTTTCCATTCCAGTTGTACAAGTTTTATAATTATGCTCACCTTTGCAGATGCTGCAACGCTCAGAATTCTTACAGAATTTAGCTAAATGTCCATACCTCAAGCACCGGTAGCATTGTTTAACTGGTGGTATATATGGAGTGACATTGTGGCGCCAACCTCCAATATCCAGATATTCAGGTAATACAGATGCAGCAAAAGTAATTGTCACGGTTAGAGTTGGCTGTAACACATATCCATGAGTCAAGGTATTTTTTCTTAAAATTCTTTTAATAGCAATAATTTTCTTAGAACTCGATATCATAGTATATATTTTTTTATTAGATATATTTGTAGGTACATTTCTAATAACGCCTGTAACTTCTGTTGAAGAAGCAGGAATACTGGCCTTAAAATGGTAGTCATTTAAAAAAGTTTTATTATTTAAAAAAGCATTGGCTAAGTCTGGCTTTTGAAAGTATACTCCGATTTTGAATTTATTTATAGATCTAAGATAAGTTACCCCTTTATTAAATCGTTTTAAACAGGAGGAGAGTGAGAGCAAGTCTCTGGATCCAATGGTTTTCTGACTATCTGAGGATTCTACAAAGACAACAAATTCTGTCCCAGGGGATTCCTCGGGATATCTTCTAATATAATCTGTGACGTAGTAAGGTTTATACTTATCGGCCTTATCAATTTCAGATTCTGAGTCAGTAGAAGTATCTTCCGAATATATATCCTTGTCATTACAAGGTTCATGGTCTACATCACCTGAATCGTCATCTTTTTTTTTCCTTTTTCTACAACTGCGCTTCCCCATGAATGCTAATTATATTACTGTCGCTGAATTTAGTGAGAATATAATATTTTATTCAATAATAAGAATTGATAGAGATAGTTTTAATAAATTAATAAAAAAAATTTAAAAAACCCGCTTGTTCTTATTCGAGTTTCCCGCCTTTTTTTTCCCCTAGATTAAAAGATTATGTCACGTTGACATCTGACATATGATAGATGAGCGGTGTAACAGATTATTTATGTCCAGATATAGTCTGTGGAGGTACTCTGTATCGGTAATTATCTCTCTATGGTAATTTGTGCTGTACCGTAGACTGTAATGTAAATTAGAAAATAAAACATGTTGTGATGATACTTATTATTGTTATTGAAAGGATACCCCTAATATTATTACAAGCGGCGACATCCGATCCACATATAAAACGCTCAACATTATCCATCTCCTTTATTTAGATATCTACGCTTATTATTAACCTAGGTAATTAATTTCTTGTCTTACGAAATGAATCATCGTCATCACCATTTTTACCAGTATTTGCTGAACATAGGCCTCCCCCATACACTGCAATAAGGAACGGTCCTGAGCCACCCGCATCCACTGACTCCCTAGAATACATTTGAGGTTGTCGCTCCATCTAGTGGGGGGTCGACCTACACTGCGTTTGCCCGTACGGTGTCGCAACTTAAGAATCTTTCTTATCCATCTGTTGTAGGTTCTTTGAGCTATGTGATCAGCCTATTGCCACTTCAGTTTACTTATCGTTCAGGCAATATTGGTTACTTTGGTTATTTACCCTCGTTTTGGATTCTGTCACGCGAAGAAACTCCGAACTCTTCTCGTAGCTCGCTGAGTAATTTGAAGCTTTTGCATACGGACAACTGACAACCCACACTGGTTAAAGAGTTTCGTCTTTAAACTTTGAGGTATTTTGAATGAAAAGATGTAACGTAGTTTTCCGAACGCTACCCAGCCGAGTTGGATTCGTCGGTAGACCTCTCGGTCGAAGTGCGAAGTTACGAAATGAATAGATTAATTAATAATGATATAGTCGCCTCTTGACACCAAAATGATTTAACCAACCGTCATGTAATAATTAAGTACTAAATTCTTTACCACAAAAATGTATGTTTAATCTCTCAAGCAACATTGATTTTTTATTGATAAATTTAATTTGTTTTTATTATCCATCAACGCATGTAAGCAGACGAAGTAATAAAAATTTTTAATGTTTCATCTATCCTATGTCCTTCTTCAAAAAACTTCATAGGCTACTTTATATTCATCGTCGTCATCATATTAGCTCTTGACTGTCCACTGCTGAATATAAACCTCCCCTTGGGGGGTTTTACTAGTAGTTGCCACGCTTGCCAAGCAGATTGACAACCGCAGTTAGGCTTAAGAGATATTTTAAGAGAGCCGCTACTGCCCATCTCTCGCTTTCCCTTAGTCGCCTCTTACGACACCGACGGTAAAGGGAGGGGTGGATTACTCTATGTCGGGGCCATACGGCCAGTTACTTCATATTATCCAAGATATATTGATTGATCTGGATGAACTAATATTCCGGGTAACACGGGCGGTTGTATTTTAATAAATATCAAACGCCATTGTCATTCAAGAACTTAATCCTTCCGCGCTGCCACAAACAGATAACAAAATTATAGGGAACGTTAGCATTTCGTGTCCTCCCGATTTTAGAATACATAATAACATAACACCCTTGGCATATCTGAAATATATGTAAATTAGACGGTAACGTGTATCAACGCTGAGCGAAATTAAACCTCGCATAAATTTGTGACAAACACTGAGACAATACCAATATCCATATTCATCGGAATTGACTTACTGTACTGTAACATTCGATGTATCTGTTAAGACTACATTATCTTATTTATTTCACGCATCATACAAGTATTGTATATTAAATTCAAGACTCCAAAACGTATGAAAATAAAACTAGTTAAATAACTTTTCTTTATTCTTTATTGTACACAAACGTAATGATAAGCATAGTTCATTTTAAACATGATGTATAAAGGTGACTAAGAAAATTATCATTACTAGTGGTCGTCCAGTGGTCGAAATTCGACCACAATATAATATTGTAATAAATAAATTTATTATGATTATGTTTGACATTCAGTAAACTATAGGGAAATAATATTAGAGACAAAAAATATTAATCTATTCCCAATTTGACCACGGACTTTAACAATAAACAAAAGAGTATATATGCGTGTGTGTGTGTGTGTGGGAAATACGTAGTAGTGTATGTAATTTTTTTATTGATTTAATGTATTTATTTTGCATTATTTTAAAAAAAATTAGCATTCTGCACTCCTTCTCTATATAAACTATAAGTGTGCCAAATTTCATGCTCCTCCGTCCGCGAATTTTCGTTCAAAGTAATCAATATAATTAATACCAAATATCATATCATAATATCATAAAATTATAATATTCGAAACTCAAATGAAAACAGAAAAACTTAAGAGCTAATCGATTAAATAAACTGCAAATTAACCATTACGCTTAATCTTCCGTTAGCAAAGTGTAATTCACTCGGAAAATTTAGGGAAATATGCATTCCCTAAGACAATAAATGTTATGTTATGTATGAAAAGTTAAAGAATGCAAGAATTGAACTATGGTCCTTGTTGAAAATTATCCAGTTTCATGAATAATGTGACACGGTTTCAGCTTTTATAGATATTACATTTTTTATGGCTGATAACGTAATTGTATCGTTCCATGCGCTATTAGTAAACGTTAGCGAGGCACCAATGCGAGGACGAAAGCAGGTCAGTTAGCCCATATTGACAAATTCCACAAGAATTAACCAAGATGGTTACCATGGGAACCGCGTGGAGGTTGACCTGCTAGCAATGGGACTGTTAGGGTATCTATCGCTTTTGCTCCTATATGTTACATTAAATACTAATAAATAAAATACATTAATAATAAATAATAATACATTAAATATTAATAAATGTTGCATTACATTGTATAATTATATCGTTAAATATACAGAGGGAAATCATTAATATCCCTTTAAGGGTGAGTTCTATTAGTGAAACTGAACGTTATCGTAAAGAAACATGTATCAAAAAAAAAATTTAAAAAAATTGTGCCCATCCGATTAACACGGCTCGTTCAGCTATTAAATTTGTATATATACAAATTTTCTCATATTTGAATTTTTTATTTACGATTTTTCTGTTATAATATGTTTTATATATATACATATAGTACAAGTAGCAAAATATAGTGACATTTTAAATATTTTTAAATTTATAGCTGTAATTACAGCATCATTTAGCGGTAACTTAAAGTAATAAACTATTCCGTTTTAAAAAGATCTGACTACCCAAATAGGTATCTACCACAAAAAATTGTTACAAATTTCACAGTTGAATAAAATATAATTTAAGACGGTGTTCCGCAAAAGAACTGACTGTTACTTAACTGTTAATTAATAACTGGTTTTGTCACCACTGTGACGAAAACAGTTATTTTAATTTAAACACTAAACAACTGAACCGATTTTGATAAATTTATCTATCGGACCAATCTGTAAGTATATCTACTCAGATAAAAAAATAATATTCCAAATCAGTTATTAATTGACGGAGTTATGAAGGAACAAACATGAAACAACCTAATGAAAACCCCCTTCTTTATGAAGTCAATTGAGAAACACGGAAGAAATGCTATTATTTCTAAATTACTTTTCATAATGGATCGTCTACTCTGCGATGATTACAAACATTTCTATCACAATTTGTTTTTATGATATAATTAAAGTGTATTGATTATATTCTGTTTTGTTATAATACGGTAAATTATTATTTAAATTATGGGATATAGCGGGAATTTACAGGGTACAGAGGAATAACATCTGAGTCCTCAGGAATGGCAACGCATGGGGGGTATCATGGGCGAAACAGTATATGTGTGTACTGTTATGTCCATGGTACTACTCATGTCTATAGACGACGGTGACCACTTTCCATCAGGTGGGCCGTCAGCTTGTTTGCCATTCTAAGTCTTATAAAAAAATCCCAAATCGATAGCTGATGAGATAGAGCTGTGACAGATAGACGGATGAACGGACAAAGTCTCAATATAAGGGTTCCGTTTTTACCGTTTGTACCGTTTTCGATATCCCTAAAAAGGTAAAAAAAAAATAACGGCCACTCGCAAGCTTTGTCCTCGTGATAGTTCCACTATTTTGGCAAGACTCCATAAAAGGTTGGATAGACTATGCCCAAGACACCACTTTGGTGGATATCTCGTTTCACATAAAGCTAGAAGTGCTCAAATTGTGGTTCCCCAATGAATGCTTTGTGCACTAATGAATCTACTTGCACGTGATTGAGTGAGATGCTGCTAATTCTGACAACACTGTAACACAGTTGTAAGCACTTTATAAAGAACAGTCTCAAGTCTGGAGCCACTTTTTTTATACTGAGTATACTGTTTCGCCCATGACCCCCCCCCCCATGCGTTGCCATTCCTGAGGACTCAGGTGTTATTCCTCTGTACTCTGTAAATTCACGCCATATCCCACTCTTCAAACCGAAACACGGCCATGCAAACACAACTGCTTCACGGTTGAAACACGAATGGGACAGAGATACCCAAGCAAACGACTTTTGTACAAAAACTTCCTCTGGTATTATTGCGATATTATTTATACTGATATTATGATACTTTCGATATTATTTGCCATTGGAGGATTTTCTAGTAGCTGCCACGTTTGCAGGCGAGTTGGCAACTACAGTTAGACTTTGGTCATGTTCTAAGAGGGACGCTGCTGCCTATTCCTCGACCATTATCTTCCTTAGTCGCCTCTTACGACATACAGAGAAGGATAAATGACGTGAAATATAAAACTGTATTATATTAGTGTACAAAAGTAACATAACATATATGGGTAGTACATACATTGGAATATAAAACAATGCCATGTGCTAGTTCAGAGCTATACACATCTTTCAATAACGAAACCTTTTAGCTTTTAGAAGAGAAAAAAAAAACAACCTTTTTGGAACATTCCCAAGCTCCATGGTCGACACGGACGGGAGTGGCCGAACTTGCAAACTTGTAATGCGCAAGCCGTGTCGGTTGTGACCTATACAACTCTGTTATGTGTCTGAAACACGTGTAATGTTTCCTACATTGTTCCGTAGTTACTGTAGAGAAGGAAATACAAGAAAATGTATATTTTAATTGTAAAAATTATTGACTAAAATAATTGTTTTAGTTTCGCAAATCGTTTGTAGAATACAACCGATTTGCGTAGAACCCAAAAAACCGACTTCAGTTTTTAAAAAATTCTGTTATTTTGATTAAACAGAACTAAAACTGAATCGATTTTAATAAAGTTTCAATGGGACCAATCTGTAACGTCTTTTCGGATTTTTTCGAATCGGTTTATAACTAACGGAGTTATGAGGTATCAAACATTCAATTCACCAAAAAATCCAACTGAATTGAAAATCTCTTTCTTTTTGAAGTCGGATGAAAACAAGTGGCATCAAATGTGAATTCGCCAAAAAATAAGGAGATATTCAGACACAATTTGTTTCACATATCCATTGTTGAATTATTTATATTCAGATTTTTCTTTGCAAAAAGCAATTTTTGCTCTATAAATAAAAACAGCTCTATAATAAAAAAATAATAATAATAATAATGGAACCAACATGATAAACTCTATCAATCGATAATTGTGAAAATCGGGTCAGAATTAACAATGTTATGACCTAACATAATAAAAGTTCACCGAATCGAGAACACACATCAGACAATTTTCAAATACATATAAAAATAAATTAGTTTAAATAATCAGTAAAAAATATTTTTTTTTATTTAAGTGTATTGTTTTTGAAAATTTAATTAAGTGGTATAGCTATCTAATATTTAGCAAGCAATATATATCATATCTGAAATATATATCACTTAAAATTTAGACATTAATAGAAAAAAAGGAATATCAAACTTCATAAATGGAACATGAATTAGGTGTATAATTTTGGTCGTAGATTTATGCACAATTATGGTAAAACCATAAACAGTGTAAAGTACTTACATGGTAATTCCATGTACGAATTATAGTTCAATATATTGAGACCACACAAGTGTTTACTTGCTGTTTGACGTATTATTCATCATGGCCGCCATATGGCACTAACAATGACGGGAAAGTTATGGGTTATGCTACAACCTACCTTAATAATTAACGGAATATTTATGTTCCTACTTACTTTGACTTAAGTACGAGTATATTAAACAGAAGCCATGAGTAATGTGAAGTACCGCTCTGGTATCTATATATTAGTTTTTTTTTCATGGGTGATAATGGATGGCAACCCCACCCGCACTATCGGTATATACCGGCGGAGCACCAGTGAAAGATGATAGGTGAAGATGAAGCAGGTCAATTAGCCCATCGTGACGAATTCAACAAGAATTGTTCACGATGGTTTCCAGGGGGAACCACGTCGAGGTAGACCCAATAGGGCATATTGCTAGCAATCCTTTACCCCCCCCCCCCACCCCCACCCCTTTATATTCGGTTCCTCTAGACATTGATGGAGAAAAAATAGATCATCACCCATTTCGATATCATATATTGGAATCAGATATAATATCAACAGCGTAGATTAGAGAATTTGCTAAGAACATTATATCAGGCGTTATATAAATCGGAATAAATCCTTATTCTTATAGATCAGTCAAGATCGATAGATATATCAGTTTGTTTTCGCGCTAGCCTCCGTAAATAAGTGGAATACCATGAGCATTGCAATATAGTATGCAAAGTCCATGATGCTATTACCATTTTCCATTAGGTGGGCCGTCAGCCTGTTTAACATTCTCAGGGACATAAAAAATCCAGCTAATAGATACACTTTTCTTCAATGCTAACAATGATAAAAAAGAACAAGATGATATCATTACTATCTGTTCTGTCTCATGTATCTGGTAGCGGTAACGTGTCTACCGATAGATTTTATTTGCCACTAAGGGAGAGTGTTCTTTATGAGGTAGACAACGAAGACTGGTAAAAAATAAAATTATTTGCAAGCGTTGCTCGCTTTTCTCAATTCAATTCAACTCATGCGCATGTGAATACTTTTTTCTTTATTTAATCCCGCCATAAATCTGAGGGCCTATCGTGAAATGAAATTCCAAATTTTCGAGCTCAATATCGTGTTTTCCTTTATATCGAAAGCGGCTTAATAAACGAAGCTTAAGATTTCGTTCATCATAAATCCCACCATAAAAGTCCAAAGAAATAATATTTTAACATTTTTAAATGGTAAGTATTATATAATTTTAACATCAATTTTGTGTTTCGTTCGGTCTCGAAATTTCGGAAAACATTTCATGGTAGTCCCTCTGTTCACTCTGGGGGAGCAGTGCACAGTATAGGATAACAGGTGGGAATGAATGCAAATAATTTGACCTATAGTGACCAATTCAACAAGAATTAACCACGATGGTCTCCAGAGGGCTCTGCATGAAGACCGACCTTTTATATCCCATTACTAACAATTCCTTTTCCACCATAAGTATTTATCATTACTTGGATATTAAGTATATTCACGGTATAAGCAATTCAACATTAGAAAGATTCTTTTCTTACGAGAAAATTAAATTCTTCACGATAGAATATGAACTGACCTTTTTCATTTTAACTTATCACCTCTCACTGGTGCCCCGCCAGTGTCCATAGTGCAAGCGGGGTTACCATTCCATTTTTATCCTTTAAAAAAATACATTATACATATTTCAATTTATTTTTTATTTTTTTAATGTTATATTATAAATAGTTCTATTTTGTTTATTTAGATTTAAAATTAAAAATAAATAATGTCACACGTACTTCATATAGCAGTTGTTACAAGGTTTAATGATACAAGCTTTAGATTAATCAGTGCGTGATATTAAACGATACTATAGGATTACAACAGTTTACAAACTATCAATGGATATATTTTTAAACTGTCTTAATAACTGTACTAACTCAATGCAGATTCGTACATGTGTTTAATCTATGAATATATACATAATATTCTAATTTGATATATATATATATATATATATATATATATATATATATATATATTAGATATACCAGGTAGCTTTTCAGCGCTATTAGGAAAAATATACCGAATGACTTGACAGAATTCTAAATTTCATCTCAAATTTTCCACATTATGTAAATAAAGAAAGAGGGCCATAAGTACCGGCTTATTGTAGGGATAATGTGTAGGTAGGTACATAGGGATTGCGGTATGGAACACTGCATGAGTAGAAATATCATATTACTTATTTTATAGCATTTATATATAGCGCAGATTCTTTGAAAGGAATTTACTTTATATTTAGATACAGAGGGCCTACCATGAAATGTTTTCCAAAATTTCAGGGCCGAACGAAACACTTATTTCATGTTCAAATTACATAATATACACCGATTAAAAATGTTAAAATATCGTTCTTTTGGACTTTTATGGTAGGAAAGCGAACAAAATATTAAACTCTATTTATTTGAGCAATTTATTATTATTAAAAGAACGGCAGCACACCTGTAATGCCAAGTGGCGGTCTTCCACCGTGCGTTTTTCAAGGCACTTTCTTCCACGCAAAACCAATCTTTGGAATCAACTTCCAGCAGCAGTATTTCCGAACCGATACGACAACATAAACTTCAAGAAAAGAGCATACTCGTATTCTTTTTTAAAAGGCCGGCAGCACATCTACAATGCCTCTGGTGTCGTCGATGATCATGGGCGGTGGTAATCACTTACCTCACTTACCTATGCTCATTTTCCTCCTGTGTTATAAAAAAAAGATTTCTGTATGAACAAAATTAAATTAAAATCAATTTAATACCTAATTGTGAATAAAAAATATTATGTCCATTATCAAAAATAATAAAGAGTTATACCTCGGAGGGTCGGAAACGCGCGTCATCCATGTTATTACTTACCGGCGTTCATAGGTTACGGTAATCGTTTATCATCAGACGAGCTGTATGCTTCCAAGAAGGAAGATATAAGAAAGTTCACATTTTCTTGTAGTCAAATTGAACAAAGATACCAAAATTGTATATATTTATGATTTCTATTAATTATTTATTTATTTATATGCTTTTGTACTCACCAGAGGGAGACTTTGTACAAAAGTCGATTGCTTGGGTATCTCTGTCCCATTCGTGTTTCTACCGTGAAGCAATTATGTTTGCATAGCTGTGTATCGGTTTGAAGGGTGGGCTATGGCGTTAATTACAGCGTACAGAGAAATAACACCCAAGTCCTCAGGAATGGCAACGCATAGGGGGTATCATGAGCGAAACAGTATACTCTGTTATGTTCATAGTACTACTCATGTCTATAGGCGACGGTTACCACTTTCCATCAGGTGGGCCGTTAGCTTGTTTGCCATTCTAAGTTGTATAAAAAAATAAAAAATAAATAATTTTTAATATAGATATAAGGTTATAACAAAATTGTACACAGGCGGACTTATCCCTTAAAAGGATTTCTTTCAGTCAACCTTGAGAACCCGAAGAGAAAATCTATTTACAGAGTGTGTATAAAGCATAACATATATATGGTGCAAAAATAATACTATTTTTATATGTTTATATTATACTTTTATGTTATATTTTATTTTTATTTTATATTATATTACATTTATTTTTATATTACAAATATTTGTTTAAAAAATCTAATATCTTTTAATATTGTTTGCAGCAACACCTTCAGATGTGTACTCTAGAAGTGGTCGGAACACAGTCGGCGCGCTAGACGGCCGCGGGCTGGTTGCAGTCATCAAGAGGCAGGTGCCGCTGGCTGGGCAACTGGGGCACGAGCTGGCCTGGGGCCAGGGGTGGGGATGGGTCACGTTGCCAAACGGCGTTTGGAGTGGACGTAAGTGCATTATTTTGTTGTGATACTCCTTCCATCTACTTTTCCCTCAAGTCTACTGTCGCCCATCTCCCCAATTACATATCTTGCAGTCAGTTTGCGCAGCTGAAAGTTGTTCTACATTTATTGCCAATTATTTCCCATATTTTTGACGTTTCGTATTACAAACGTGTTCTTAAATATCTTTACATCAACTAGTATAGTTTCTCGTTTACCAGAGTGAGACTTTGTACAAAAGTCGATTGCTTAGGTACCTCTGTAACATTCGTGTTTCTACCATGAAGCAGTTGTGTTTACATGGCTGTGTTTCGGTTTAAAGGATGGGATATGGCGTAAATTTACAGAGTACAGAGGAATAACACTTGAGTCTTCAGGAATGGCAACGCATAGGGGGTATCATGGCGAAACAGTATACTCTGTTATGTCCATGGTACTGCTCATGTCTATAGGCGACAGTTACCACTTTCCATCAGGTGAACCGTTAGCTTGTTTGCCATTTTAAGTTGTATAAAAAAAAATAGTATCGTAGAACTATTTAAGTACTAAAATTACAATTAATAATTATTTATCTATTAATAAACTTAATAAATACTTAAACATATATTCACATACACTCACACATACATAGCGTAATACTCACTCATTATATAATAGTTATAGTAAGTTATACTGTATAATCAATATAATATATTGATTTATGTCAGCTTTATTCACATTTTCAATTCGGAAACGCCTGACTATATTTAAAATCAATAGGAACCCTCATTCATGAGCGCGGTTCACGGCTGTACCGTGAGTAATTATGACATAAATAAATATGTATAAAATTAACTTTATTTATTTATTTATTTTCATAACAAACAAGCGAGACAGAAACCACAGAGGTTTGTCTGGAATACCATATATTCTAATTAGTACAAAATATATAAATTAAATTATACATTCCCGTGTGCTGCCGGGCCCGTAAGAGGCAAATAAGGGAGGGCGTGGGATAGGCAGCGGCGTTCCTCTTAAAACATCCAAAGCCTAACTGCGGTTGCCACCTGCCAAGCATGGCAACTACTGATAAACCCTCCCTAGGGGAGGCTTATGTTCAGCATTGAACAGTTGAAGGCTGATATGATAATAATGATATAAATTATATAGTATAATATATTCTTGAATTTAACAACATTATATGTATTTAAATTAAATCCATATTTTCTCACTTAATTAAACAATTTTAGCGTAATTTAATAATTATATTTAATTATTATCTTATAAATATCTTTCCAGGCTTGACCTGGTCGCAAGAAGGCGAAGACTTCGCGCTGCACGCTATGCCAATAATGCATCACACAAACGTCTCCCAAGCTTGCTCCATGCTGGACGGAGTGACTGCATATGAGGCTTCAGCTTACGAACAAGCGTTGGCTGAATATGACGATACGGCGGCCACATCGGACGATTGGGACTTCGGAGTCGACTGCGGGGACTTTATGATGTAAACGATATTAAAACTTTTCTTTTTGAATTTTAAGTTCATTTCACATTACGTGCTGATTTGGAAAAGGGACATTGAACAAATTAAAATATGATAAATTATAGCAGACAATTTGTTAATAGCCTGAGCAACCTAGATGATACAAACAAAGCGAGTATTTGAACAATCGTGATTTATTTGACATGCTTAGAATGAAATGTTAAAGATATGTTACATCTGGAATAATTTCAATACTTATAATAACTTTATTATTCAGATATTAAACAAATAATCTTTGGTAACATCAGCCGCTTATCTGATTTGATACAAAACAAAATTGAATTTTGTGAGTCATATTATCATCATCAAAGCCTCTTCCAATCAGCACTTCGAGCATATTTAAAGACCTACAAAGACAAACTGTAGAGTCTACTCAGTATTATTTAAAATCATTAGAAATTTAAATTTCGAAGACATTAAGCAAAAAGAATGCATTTAAATTATTTTATATTTACTGATTAAGTTTTTTTTTTTTTTTGTTAAAGAAACACTAGACAAACTTCTATACTGCTTATTGTGAAATATGTTTTATACTTTTTCTTTGGAAACGAACTAAAGTAATTTTATTTGTTTCCAAAGAGATAATATTTTTTCTTCGTGTTTCTTTAAAATAACTTTATTATACGATCGGAGTGCAATAAAGTGTCTAGACGAGTAAAATCTACAGTTTTGATTTGTACTTTTTGTTCAATACAAAAATGCTGATGTTCATTCATTCACGGACAATTCATTGCTCAAAATTAGACGAGTGATATTGTGCTGGTCACGATAAAATGATGTGCCAATTATAATGATGTTTCTACAAATGTGTAAACAACGCATCTTATGAATTTTGTATTTGTCAGTAGATTGAGAACAGTACTAGGGGTACAACTCAATAGATCTACGTTGACACCATACTGACATATTAACATACTTCCCCTCTATGCAAAATACATTTCGGTTATTGCGATAGCTAGTAGAAAAGTCCATATGGGGCCGTAGGTACTATTCTTAATCTATGACCCTAATTGTAGTCCAAATAGAATAGTGGTACCACAGATAATATAATACTATTGGTAGTACTTAATCTGTGGTCCAATTGTATGGAGATAATCAGTAATAGTAAAATATTGAAATTAGCTTTTATAGCTTATATCAATCATGTGTCAATTCCATACATTTATCCCCTTGTTCATACAAATACCAATCATCTAATAAACATATTATAGCTCTTCTGTGTCTTAGCTATTGATTAAGGTAGATTGACCTTTTTTCTTGAGCTAAATTCTTAATTTAAAAAGTGATAATTCACATATATACTTGGAATGCGATTTCAGGTTTTATGAATAAGAGGTTAGACTTTTCTACTATCAATATCGCTAAAATGTACTTTGTGTAGAGGACCTAACACATCCACGCCGCAGTCTGTGGTAGTGAAATGATAAAAATATTAAGATTGAGTTACAATAAAAACCGACTTCAATTGTGGTAAAACCGGTTATTTTCATGTAAAATTTAAACTACTCGATTGATTTTGATAAAACGTCTATATGAAAAATCTGTATAATATCCATTAAGATAAGAAAGGATTTTCCAAATCGGTTTACACCTGACAGAGTTATGAGGTAACAAACAAAAAAAAATACAACCAAACGAAAGAAGGTACTCATTCTTTTTAAATGACACGTTAACATTAAGCAATTAAAAAAACAATGCACTTGTAATTGATAATGCGTAATGTTTTAATATTACAGAGTACTTTTGTATATCCTAATTTGAGTAATGTAATATTAGTATTTAGTTTTGAGTAGTTAAGATTTGATCTTTCAGATACTGTTTCAGTTAGCAGAAGTTCTCAATTGGCATGTATTTTTTTTTTTTGTATGTTTCTTACTTTATAATTTTTTAATTTATAAACCAATTTGGAAAATTCTTTTCTTCTTTATATGAAAGGATATACTTTCAGATTGGCCCCATAGAAATTTTATCGAAATTGGTACAGTTGTTTAGTTTTTAAATCAAAATAACTGGTTTAGTCACAATTAAAGTCTACTTTTTTTTTGAGGAAACAATTCTTAAATTCCCTTTATATTACTAAAGCTAGTGTGCAAGAAAACATAGACATTTAAAATTTTTAAATGGAGATGTCAACATATTCAATATATTTCGCAGTAGGGCAAATTTATTAGATTTTTACTACCACAGTCTGCAGTGACTCGGTGTGCTTAGAATTACTGCAATCGAAAATGAACTTTAATGTTTATAAAACAAAACTCAATACACTAATAGTTGCATGCTCTAAAGTAGTAACTGTATGTATGTCATAGAAAAGATGTGTGTAGCCATGAAACTGTTTAGATCTTTAAGTTGTACGGCCTATACAGCTTAGATTAGTGTTAGCAAATGATGTCGAACCACTGGAGGGACTAACTCCAATTTCTTCAACCCTTTCTATACTGTGTACTCTTTATATTTGGTATAATATTTGATAAAAAAAAGTTTCCTGCAAAGCAAAATTTGATGGTAATAGGGCTGATGTAAGGCAATAAAGTGAAAACAATTTTCAGTATTTTTTTATATAATTTCTATTGAAGTAACAATACATTACTTAATAATCATCCTAGTACATAATTTAAAAATACAGTAAACTCGCCAGACACAATTTAAAACAGCATGCAATATCTAACAGCTAAAACATTCTTAGTAACAAAAAAAAAATGCATCTGAAAAGATAGATACTTCAAAAAAACTAATTTGAATTTTAGAAACGATAATCTTGTTCATACAAGGTCGTTAATTTTAGTTTACCATTGCCAGATACTTAGTAAAAAATTATAATATTTTTTTATGACTACTAAATCATTCGGTGTTCTCATAATGAATTCTTACAAATATCATTAAAGACTTAAAAATGCTGGTTCTATTATCATCAGGTTTATTATTTTTTTAATAAGAATGGTACATTCATTAAATTTTTCACTTTACACAAAACATTTTGACATGTTATTAAACTGTTATCTCAATTTGGAAACGATGTCTTTGTGAAAACATTTTCGAATCCTTTACTCGACACTTTCAGGGTAATTCAGCTTATATTGTCATAAAACTTTGAAATTTATACTCGTGTCTTGGAGACATAAATAGATCGGGTAAAGCGAAAATTTATTGGAATTATTTATTTTAACATTTCGCTATGGGTCAATACTTACACTTATATTTTGTGAGAAAAGAACGTAGTAAGCCTTAGTAATATAATTTGTATTAACATAATTATATATTCAAAATAATTACAATAACCGTAGAAATGATTAACATTCTACCCAAATCTTTGTAAAAGAACCCTCAGTAATAAATATTATATAATTATTAAAAACAGTCTGTAATTGTAAATTATTTGATAAAAAAACATCTGGAATACAATCCAAAATTGATAATTCTGTAATACGGTGCACTCAAATACGAGTCAATTTAAAAATGTATTAAAAAAAACTGCGAACATAACATTTTGAGAATATTGAAGTTGTTCTATGGAAAATAAAATTTACTTGTTTTAAAAATGCCTCAAATGTGAAAAAACAAAATTTGAAAACGTTTAAAACGAAATTAAATGTAAGTATTTTCCCCTAAAATAATCGATGACCCCTTATTGATAGTGACACCAATAGCAACAGAGAAATAATTGTAATCTACTCGTAAACATGTGAATGATTCGTATTCTAGACGTAAGTTACTCAATTTGGTGTTAGTATGTAGTGAATGTGGTCGGTAGAGTACCGTTTGTCTGATTGAAACAGCCAATAAAAAAAAAAAACATTTGAAGATCTTTTAAAAATAAACATGTCGATAAACAATATTTTTTATTTTATTTTTTGACTAATATTTTTTTATACTTGCATTAAAGACTAATTCCTTTGATAAAATTAACATAATAGTAATTTGTCAATTAAATTATAAATATATAAAAAAAATTGTCAGGCATTTAGTAAGCTTAACGATCCTGGTTATACTAGGTTAGATACGATAAAACCAGGCAACAAAGTACTTATTTGAAGTTACAAGTACATCGTAACATCCGAATCGGAGCAAATTTTGTTCCATAAAAAGATAACGTAAAATAAAAATAAAGTTGCCTAAATAGTTTTTACTTTTTATACCGACGTAATACGTAAATGACGGATACTATTTTGAAAGCAATCTATATAAAAAAAAGCTTATGGTTTATTAAACAATAGAAAACTTAATAAGGAATGGAAAACATGGAAACTATATGACAAATTGTAACCATGTCGCCTATAAAAACATTACAGAATATACTGTTGCATATTATAAAGTATTCATAAATAACATCGATATTTATTTCTAAAAGGTCTTTTAACACCCAAAATTTTAACCAACGTTTTGGCATAGCGTCAATATATTTAGGTGTGGTATTGTAAATTAGTACAATTAATAAAAAATATATATATATCTAGTTGCTATAAAATCTTCCGACCTACCCAAAGACTGCCTAACGTTATTATTACCTGTGCCGTCAGTCTCAACATGGACAATGATCGATTATCGATCGATTTCGGTCGTTCAATCGTACCTAATAGTTCGTTTACACACTCGCGTCAAATGTGTGTAAAAAGTACACGTTACACTATAGAATAAATTTATATTTCTATTAACTTTTACTTACAACATATGCGCATAAATTTTGGAAATATATAATTACCTCAAAAACGACTTATCAAGATAAAACATTTAACAAACAAATTTTAACCTACATCTTCAGAAATATAACTCTGAAAAATACATCCAATTTGATGTATTAGACGCCGAAATAAACATACAAACAATAAAAAGGACAAAAATAAAAAATAAAATATATTATTTTGGCCATTATAGTTGCTATTAGGATCCCTCGTATAATTTTTTCCTTAAATATCTTCTAACAATATCATATATAAGACAGCATTTATTTATAATTTTATAACAATTATTGTAAGATGGTATAAACAGTGTCAGGGCGAATCTTGTTTTATTTTCATCTCGCGACTTGTACATAAGCTATTAGATTCGATTTAACGACCGAAATCGACTGGTAAACGATCGCTGTGTATGTAGAAACTGCCGGCACTGATACCCGTGTTGTGTGTACCCTAAGCATGGTAATCGCGATAGAACCCTGGCCCCGCGAGCATGCTACATTGCAAGTGATTATTAATAACTTAAAAAAATAATTCACAGTGGGTGTGGATTTTTTATATTTTTTTCGTCTATACTTTACGCGATATTTCGCCAATTACATGAATCGATTTTTTGATTATTTAATTTTTATCTTGATTGTTTTTTTTTTTGTGGAATAAAATTTCAAATATTAGCAATCCTTACAGATAAAATTTTATTGCATTTTCCATCTTTCTTTTTATATAACTTTTACGCCCTCGATGTGTTCATAGAATTGAATTAATGATTTTATTTGGAAATCTTGCAATGTAGCAATATTTGTCGTAGTAGGTAATTAAATTACGGTGTAATCCCTACGAAATTAGTGTAATTAATTAGTCGTCTTATTTTAAGCGGTGTAACGTTTATTATTAAAAAACATTTAATTGTTTTTCCTTGGTTTTTACTGATGCCATAGAAATAAAAGGAGACCGCATTATTAGATGTAGTAGCAAAGTTACTGCCTTTCTACAACTTGGTACTTTTACAAGGAATTATCCTATAGGATACTTATACATAAGTTATAGAAGGAATTTGAATTCTTCTCAGATCAAGTCCCCAAAATATACACGCTCAGTTTGTATAGAAATATAGGAAAATATATGGAAATGTCTATATCTGTATGCGTCCACCTCCTTTAATTTCTATGCTTAATACGAAAAAAATCCTTTTTTAAACACCTAATTTATTCATAAATATTTCGGGTCAATGAGTTTCTTTAAAAGATATTTTACTAGTAAAAAAATATAATTATCACAAAATAACCATAAAATGTTTATTATCAGTTCATTATTACATTATTTTAATCAAATTTTATGCAATGTTTTTAGTATTGGTACATACCAATTGCATGAAATTTATTATTGTTTAATTATAAATTCGGAAAAGATATTTTTATTTTTTTGACCATAACTGTGATTTGGTTTTTCTTATTAAATAACTGCCATAAAATGTACCCGTAGGTTTTTCCATTTAGATTAAATTTTATGTACTTTGCTGTTGTTTGACATATTTTAATTATAAGTATAAAATATATTCCATTTTTTAATAATTTATGTTTTATATTATAAAAATGTCACGGGTAAAAATAATTAAAATAGTACTTATTATAAATCGTATTTATGTTATTTACTCGTATTTTATTTTTATTATTATAGTTAAACAATTATTTTATAATTAATTAATATTAGTCAGCAATAATATTTATGGACGCTGGATTCGTCGAGATGACATATTTTTGTAAGGAAATGCTTGCATGTTTAATTTTAATGATAAATTATAATTGTCAATGTGTTCGTTTATATTTATTATTTATAATGACCACCTAATAATATTATTATGATATTTTTGTGGATGCTTGTTCAACGATCAAATAATTTTGTTTGATCTAATAGGTACTTTGTTCTATTTGTCAAAGTTGATCGTAAGTATAATAAAATTTTTATTCAAAATTTAATCTCAATTTATCTAACATATTATTATTATATTATTATTTTTTTCTTTTTAACATACATATTAGATACAGATATATATAGACTCAATATTTATTTATATAATTTTATGTATACATAATATACATTATATTTTTGTATCTCTAAGATTGCTGTTTGCATATTTTGACAAATAGAATAAAAACGCGAGTGTGAAATTACGGGCGCTGGTATTATGTCTCTACCAACACTTTTACTTTGCATTTATTCAGAAGTCATAAAAAATACATAAAATTTTAGTGTATAGAGCCAATACACTAAAATTTATTTTTTTAATGTATTAATGAGACACTTAATCTTATATGAAAAAAAAAATTAATTGTAGACGCGCATAATGGACAAGTATTTCCAAATTGCGATTTATGAGCTGTAGTGTAGTTTGTATGATGCTTTGATATATAATTAGGTACTTACATAAGTATATCTTAAGTTATAATAAAAAATATATAAAATGCGAAACGCAAGTCTCATTATAACATTGAAATAAGCAAAAAAAAAAAACATAAATTATAAATTTTTTGTCGTATACTAGTAGTGCGATATATTACGTAAGTGTTACGATATACTACACTAGTTGTACGACATATTACACTAGTTGTACGATGTACTACATTAGTGGTACGATATATTACACTAGTTATACGATTTACTATATGTGTATCCTCAGGAATGGCAACGCATGGAAGGTATCATCGGCAAAACAATTTACTCTGTTATGTCCATGGTATTGCTCATGTCTATACGCGACGGTTACCGCTTCCCATCAGGTGGGCCGTCAGCTTGTTGCCATTCTAAGTTGCATAAAAAATACTATACTCGTAGTACGATATACTACACTAGTTGTACGACGTATTACACTAGTGGTACAATATACTACATTAGTAGTAGATTATGCTGCTTTAATAGAACATCTGTGAATTCTGTAACAGTTGATTTCAAGTATTATATTTTTTTATAATATTAATATTTTTAAATAATGGAAAATTTTTAAACTATTTTTATTAATTTTAATGTTCAGACTCACAATACCAGCGCGCTGTATTCTCAACTAACGTTCACAGTAGTGTTAGTTGATGTGATGTGGACATATGGACAAATAAGTCGAGTAGTCGTGTGTAGCTAGTCGGCGTCGTGTGTACTTACGTAACGTTACGTTACATTATGATTTACATGAAGATAGTGACACATTACAGAATATGAATGTTTGTATGTAAATTTTATAAAATAAACACCCATTGTGTGTGAATTGCGCTGTTTCATTTTGTTTTTATTTGGCCAAAATAAATAGAACCCCTACTAATGTGTAAGAAAGTTTCTATGTTATCTTTACACATTAACTGCTCGCTACCGCTTGGCGTTTAACCAATAGTCATGAGGTTCGGCAAATAAGTATTATTTGCCGTGGAAAACAACAAGACGAAAACACGGACGTATCTAAAGATTAGAGAGATTTAAGATAATAAATATGTCCACGACATCAAACTAAGATGGAGTAATAGCAGAGGTACTAAAATTTATGAATTATTGCCATTGTGGTGAACAAAATAACATTAATCCAGCTTATTTTAATCTAACTAGAGGTAGGCTTTGATATGTTAACAATATATTGCATCCTCGATAAATAAGTCTAAAATTTAAATTTACATATAAAGTTTTTTATTTCCGCTGAACTAAAATTCACTAACCTCTAAAGTCACAGCAGTAAACCACTAGATAAGACCACAAACAATTTAAAGCCCCCCATTAAAAAATAATGGTTTATTTTCCGTTTCATCCGAATTTTCTTTTTATTCTTTTCCAATTTATGATATAAAGTAAGGATTTATCTTAAGCATCTGATATGTACTCGTAAAACGATGTCCTTAAAACGGTGTACAAATAGGTACTGAAGTCCAAGTGAGATGCTAACCTCAAATTTTTTATACTATTACAAAAAAGTAAAAAAAAAAAACAGTTCATTTGATGACAAGATAAATACGTACCTATGTATATAAATACCATCTGGACGAGTGGCGGTCCTCCACCGTGCGTTTTTCAAGGCACTTTCTCCCACGAACAACCACTCTTTGGAATCAACTTTCAGCAGGAGTATTTCCGAACCGATACGACAACATAACCTTCAAGAAAAGAGCATATTCCTTTTTAAAAGGCCGGCAGCACACCTGCAATGCCGTAGGTGTTATGGGTTACCATGGGCGGCGGTAGTCACTTACCATCAGGTGAGCCGCACGCTAGTTCGCCCCCTGCGTTGTAAAAAAAAATAGATCTGCCTATAACATCGCTCCTCCGTTACGATTTCTGTAGAGTGTAATACCTCTTCGGGCATAACTATCATTTAGTCATGACAGAAGACAATGTCATGATTATCGTTAGACATTTGTTTTTTTTTTTGCCTTTCACGCTCTTTTTCTGTAGATAACTGTGTAAACGAGTACGGTTACATTTGAATAGTAACACAAATGTGGTGGCTCTTATGCCGTGCCGTGTGGTCCCGGTGCAGAATGGACCACTCTTTCCTTTCATGTGTGTGTCGTAAGGGAACTTAATTGTTAAAGAATGGGCAGCAGCGACTCTCTTAAAACATCACCAAAACCTAACTACGTTTGCCAACACACCTGCCAAGCGTGTCAACTATTGGCAAAACCCTCTAATGTATGGGGAAGATCTATGTTCGAGTTTCAGTACAGTTCAAACTTGAAATTCCGATAACATAAAGCAGTTACCACTACGTTACAGAGGACATGGAATTTAAATAGTTATATTTTTAAAGCATTAAACAACTATATTGCGACTCTTTTTCGATCAAGACATAACGAACAGATTTTCAGCTATGAACCATCCCTAACTTCCAAATAAAAAAGACGCACTGAAATCGGTTTACCTATCTGTATGATTCGTTCTCTATTACTAAAGAGGGTGTCCCCTGTAGACAGGGATAAGAACTGATCATGGCTGAAATTTAAGTAATAAATTTAAAATCGAGTTTCAAATTTTATATACAATATATAGGTTTTCAAGAAACGAGGTTAGACTGCTAACTTTCACGATACCTACAGTTCAAGTTGAAAAGGCTACGGGGCACAATAACGTCGCTTTCACTGAACGTGGATGCGGGCTTACAATTTGTTCCAATATTTATATTGTATATAACTCAATTTAGCACTCGACTGGTACATATTACCATTTCATAAATACAATTTTTCCTTAAATGCAATGATTTAGTTAGCTTGACATTCAATCCACACTTTTTACCGTAAAATAAATAATCGTTCGCTCTATGCTAGTCGTATTACAGTTCTGAATCGCAATACGTCTCAATTTGCAGCAGTAAATTATATTGTCTAGGTCTACCAGGCCGTGTAGGTGCAGCTAGTTGTTGATTACTCACCGTACAGTCATGCAGGCTGTACGCCCCGCCATCTCTCGGTGAGCCACGTCCCGCGCGACAGCTGAGTCGCTTGGCGACCGTTGACTTGTTTAATCGGTAAAATATTCACTTGAGTGCCCGGCAAATAAAATATAAAAGGCATAATAAAAGTTATTCTCGCGTCTCGATTAAAAATTAAAAATAGAGTTTAAAAATGATCGGTAATCATAGATTGTGATACGTTCTAATTTCAAAAACTTTTAGCGGGAAAAGTTACGTTTGAATGACAAACGACCATAATATTTTTGTGTCAAATTTTGTGATTGATGTGTTTATGTAATTTAAGAAATTCTCATGTAGTATTTTATTTACTATTTATTTTTGATTGTGAATAACGGCACAATAATTAATATTCCAAATATCTAGTACATATATACGTTAAAATTCTAAAGTCTTCCACAATACAAGAAATTAATAGTGTCAAATAGAGCGATGGATAAAAACGGGGGCTCGAGACTTCTGCAAATGCAGGTAAGTTGTTTAATTAGTGTAAAATATATTCATTAAAAACGACACGATTTATACATGAAATTTTTAATAATAACATAGTCTGTAATTATGCAAAATTTTATATAAACACAAGTAGGTAGGTATGTATAAGTACTTACCCATTGCAAGTGTTCAATTAGAACTATTAGTCATTATATCACAAGGTCAACTTTTGAATTGCCTGACGGTTTGTAACGTTTTTGTCGTTTCTGCGACTTCATCGACGCCTAATCCGTTACCTTCTGTTCCCACAGGAGCATCCGGTTATTAGAACATCTTAAAACTCATTTTTTATTATATACCTAGGGTGAGATATAAATAATGACTATAATTTCTACTAATAAAATTGAATATGAAACATAGGCAGACAAACGACAAAATATTTGGGAGTTCCTTTGCAATCTGACGGAAAGGATACGCATATTATTAGTAGCTATCTAAGGGTAAATTGTTTTTATCGCTTGAAGAATGATTTGCATTTCTCTTCTATAAAACATATTCATGACATAATTTTGACTATCCCTGGATCAGTCACTGTCAATCAGTCAGTTTGTCTTGTCTTTAGGTATTTAAATTTATTATAGACAGTTATGTTGTCTTAGAATAACTGAGACGCTCTTTCTCTAAATGTATAATTAGGGGTGGGTAATAAATAGCAAAATCTATATATTGTAGTTACATTAGTTACACAAAATCGATATATTGTTCCGAAAACGGATTATATTAATTATCGGTTACCCAATACGTAATGAAAAACCCGATCTAAATCAATATAGATATCTGACTGGTAGGGGCGACATCGAAATGGGTGACGACCTTTTTTCCGTCATTAATGTTAGTAATTGGGTCTAACAGTCCCAGCAATATACCCTATTGTGGTTAATTCTTGTGGAATTTGTTTCATCTCTCAATGGTGTACCGCTAGCGTAAACCCATAGCGCAGGCGAGGTTACCATTCCATTCTCAGCCCTTAAAAATATATATATATATAGACATTAGCAGTACTGGTTAAATCTTCTATTTTTGAAAGTGTTTAAAAAATAAAATACAAATAAAAAACAGACGATAACAGAGAGAATATAAATTATTTATTTATTTATTAAACACAAAAAATATATACAACATATTGTGTACATTAGATCCCGCACTAGGCGAACTTCTATCGCGGGAATCCATAAGCGATTATTACCAAGACACAGTGTTTTTTTTTAATGGGTAAAAATGGTATGGTATCCCCGCCTGCGCTAGCACCAGTGAAGGGTGATAGATGAGAATGAAAACAGGCCAGTTAGCCCATCATGACGAATTCATCAGGAATTAACCATGATAGTTTCCAGGGGGAACCACGAGGAGGTCGACCTGGTTGGGTATATTGCTAGCAATGGGATTCTCAGTCTCCATTACTAACAATCCCTTTCCCCCCAAGATACAGGGTTTCACAAATATAGATCAATTGGAGAGAGAACTGAGGACTGGGGATCAACTCCGTTTTGAAGATACAAACAAACTAGCCTATTCACAGCTCGACGGCTTTTTACTAAATAAGCATATTTATTATAAAGTCATTATCTTGAATATTCGCAAATAGGAATGGCATGGCATTGTGATTAATTTCGCCGGCGTTGCGAGCCATAAGCTCGGCGCGCGGAGGGCTCGGGTCGTTGGGTTCAAGGTTGTTAACCGTTTCCTCTGGTACATTCCTAATAATAATAGCGAAATACACTTGTGTAACACATGTATGTATGTGTATGTAAACAAATGCATCTTCCCACATTTATCATTTATTTATAAGTGCATTGTACAATTGGCGAGAATTCTTTGGAATTGTCAACATGCGGAATGCATGGTGATTATGTACTAAGTATTTCCCTCAAGTATTATTACGTGACCGTATTTATTATAATAAGAATCCTTATTAATTTATTTATATACAATTATCTGGCCTGACTGACAATCAACAGTCCTCCAGAGTTAATAGTTTTGGATGTACCAAAATTATTATCTCTGGGGGAAAGGGATTGTTAGTTATGGGTTTTATCCATTGCTAGCAATATACCCTTGCCCTCTACGCGGTTCCTCCTGGTAACCATCGTGGTTAATTTTTGTTGAATTCTTCACGATGGTCCACCAACGTATACCGACAGCGCCAAGTGGGGTTAACATTTCAATTAATTAAATAAGAGAACCTGCCGCCATTAGGTAAATTTTGTCACATATCTCCTACGAATGAGTGGAACACACCGAATGGTACGCGTATCCTACTTTGAGAAACCTAATTTTATGAAGAAAAACTAAAATAAAAATAAATAATAATAACGTATATATAACATAACATTTAAGTATCAAGTAACGTAAGAAATGTATTCATTTATAAAATTAATAGAAACATCCAAGCGTATACTCGTTTTACCCCAATTTCGATATGCGTGTCCCAGTTCCACCCGTTCGATAGCTCGGCTGTCTTTTAGGTAACAGAGCCGATGCCCTGCCCTACATGTCGATGGCATAATCAAACTGACTAAACATTTTATGACAGACCATTACGTGGATTACGTATTTGACACAGTTCAAGTTAAATAATAATTTATCTAGTATTTTCACATGATATTTTACCATATATGGTACATCTAAGTGTCAAATGAATATCACACACATTATGTGTGAAACAAATTTCGATTTATTGATCAAAATTAAAAATCTTAATTGTAAATTTAAATTTTTGGGATGGTGGTAGGCTCGCCGTATCTGAACATAATCGGTAAAATGTGGGCATAAATGCTGACATCACTACAACGGTCAATTAATGACTGTCTCTAGTCGTGTGCATATTTTTTACATTTATATATATATATATATATATATATATATATATATATATATATATATATATATATATATATATATATATAAAACAACAAACAAAAAGCAATAAAGAAAGAAATATTTAAAATGTAGTAATTTAAGTCCATCAAATAAATAGACACACGTTTATTTATTTACTTTTACATATTTTAAATCTACTAATATTATAGATACGAATTTGAAAACATATATGTTTAGATACATGTGTAAGTTTAACTTCGCCTATGGTTTGAATGATTGTTACTCAAACCCGCATAATTGGCTATTCATGTTCAGACTTATGCCTACCAGTGGGTCGATAGTATGTTGTTCCAATGCAGAAGATTCCGGCCTTCAAACTTTTATAAAACCACAACTCTGTACCAATATCAATATTGATACAAATAGAACAATAAATCAACATAAATATGAAGCCATGCTGAATCTGATACAGCTGCGAGATGAAATAAATTGCGGTCACAAATCAATTTATTTGGGAAGTCAACGGGAAACTGGGTACAAGATAATTTGGTTCTGAAAGAACCAAGTTCACTGTTCACTTGTATGGCAAATATATTTTATTGAAACTTAGTTCCTCTATAGGAATATAGAAATTAAATGTTTCATTTAAATTGTTGGTAATAAAAAATGGAAAATGCAGAATAATTATTTACAAAACACGAAAAGATCGATTAAATATAATCTAATAATAATTAATAATGTGATTGCTGTACTCTTCCCGGATTTATGTTAATACTGTACCTCTAATAGTTAAGATCTATATTGTTACAACATGAATATGCAGTAACTAATTAAATTGAATTGCATCTATGTAAAATGTACAATATATAAAAGGAAAAACTGCTTGACTGACTAACAAATCAATACACCGACTGTCAATGATAAGAGCTTATAAACATGACATGTTTTAACAGAGGTTGCTATAAATAATATAATATATTACGTGAGTACCGTAAAGGGATTTCTTGAAACTCTTATAGAAACGGATGATACTCGTAACTTGTTGTCATAGAGTTCTGCACGGGCGAAGTCGCGAAAAAGAGTTAATTTCTCCAACTATCTATCCCCTCTCACCGTACTGGTTTCGCTTCAAATTCTTTTCTCCTACATTCTTCACGACCTCTGGAACGCGCTTCCTGATGCCATTAAGAGACTACCGACTAAACCGTCTTTAAAAAAAACGTTCACGCTCACTTTTTTACTTTATCCAAGCAGTAAGTGCTTTATATTATTCTTAATTTCGTGTATAATATAGTATATGCCATATATGTGTAAGTATATTTGTTAGTTATATTTATTCCTTTATATATGTAATTTCAGTATGTATGTATATCAATAATTACTAGTACCGCATTCGAGTATTCTGACACTTCCCTCTGGTTGACTGGGAGAGAATACTTTTAGCATTAAGTCCGCCATGTCCGTACACACATTTGTACTAATAAATAAATAAAGAAATAAATTATAGCTTAAGGTAGCTTTAATGTCTAATAACGAAAGCGTTTACTTTTTTGTTTATAATTAACTATTTTTTATTGTAAGGAACGTCCAATGGCTTCATCATTTTCAACACGGGAGGTTAATTAGATTAAGACTGCCAATACAAAGATTCACATGTTGTGAAGTAATAATGCTCACGCGCAGGAAATGCTCATTCTCTAACTAAAATGTACTAATTAACATAAATTAATTACTAAGTAACATTAACCAAACAGAAAGTTGTATGTTGTTGTATCAGCCTTTAATTGTCCACTGCTGAACATAGCCTTCCCCATAAGGAGGGTTTTGCCAATAATTGCCACGCTTGTCAGGTGGGTTAGCAACTACAGTTTGGCTTTTGGTGATATTATAGAGGGACGCTGTTGCCCATCCTTCCACCACAAGCTCCCTTAGTCGCCTTTTACGACATCCACTAGAAAGGAAGGGGTGGCCTATAGTGATAATTATGATGATGAATTGTTATTGTGGTCTCAATAACCTAACACTAAAAAACTGGGGGGAAGGGATGGGGATTAGTAGCCCCATTGCTTGTAACTGTATTAGGTCGACCTCCTCGTGGTTCCTCCTGGAAACCATCATGATTAATTTATTGTTAGATTTGTCAGAGTGGACTAACTGAC